AGACGCCATATTGGATCCTAGTGTCCACTTTGTAGCACGTTAAAGATCCCTAACTTAATTTCTAGAGCGATAACAGCGTAAAAAAAAGGTTTTGTTTGTCTTTGAAAATGGCGACCGACTTTTTTTTTAATTGGCTACCACTTTGAAGAATTTAGGAGCTAAGTGGCTATCAGAAAAAAAGAATTAATTTCACGCACTGTAGGGTAGATGTGCACCTGTTCGTTAGCCTGCAGTACAAGTCGTGTGCCCTTAACGGGAGAAGGTGTCCATCGTTTGCCGCGCCACTTGTTTCTATTAAAAACCTAGGGCATAGAAATCAGGGGGGCCACCCCTTAGCCGAAAGCTTTTCCTTATCCTAAAATGTCGGCCGCCCATGCTGGGAAGGAATCTTGAGTGATCACCTTGTTTCATATGACCCTTGACATCGAGTTTCTTTTATTCCAGGGAATATTTTTGTTTTTCTTCCACTGCGTTTTAAACATTGATGTAAGTAAATACTGCTCATATATTCTTTGTACTTTTTTATTTTTTTTCAAGATCCTTCTGTGTTGGTATAGAACCAAAAGCATTTGAGTAAGGTTATCTGCTAATATCACCAATGCGCCCCATTTTTTTCTCGAGAAGTCTAATAAGCTACTAATTAATTCCTGTGCAGATAAAAGGTTATTACCAGTCCGGGGTTCACCGTTGTAGTCATGAAGATGGCTGTTTGACAGACAAGGAGCGCAGTAAACGAGGCAATCCTCCCGCGCATGTGCAAGACCCACAGGTAGGCGTATTGGTCATTCCTGCTATCAACAACGCACGTTTTTTGACGTTGAAGAATCTGTAGGTTATTGTTTGAAGATAAATAAAAGGATACATTGCTTTCAATGGACATGAATATTTGCTAAAAAGAAAAATTATTCTTGGCCAAAATTAAATCTGAGATTTTAAGCTTCTCAATTTACCCATCACAGCGAGAGAAAGCTACTTGGTGAGGTGATACTTTCGTGGGTAGTATCAGATATCTCGAATTTTTGTTTTAAAAAAAATTAAGTGGATGAAAATTAACAAAATAAACACGCTTCTTAAGTTACAGGGATCTCGTAGAAAGATCAGCAGCAAGAGCCCGGCGATAGAACACGTTCCTTTGATATCAGTGAGGGCCCAGACAAGATCACCTCAGGTCAGTCTCGCATTTAAACTGAACATCCTCAAAATTACTTTTTTTTTTTAATTGTTAGTTTACGATTTCTAAGAGGCGTTTGAGGTGATGGGGTTGAAATTTAAAATTTTTTTTACGGCAGGTCCCGATTGGCTTCTACATGTTCTATCATCCTTAATCTGCGAAAGGATTTTAAACTAAGAAATACTTTTTACACTCGTATAGGAAGAAGGTTCTTCGCGATCCCAGTCCTCCGAACCAAAAAGTGATCCTCGGCCACTAGAGGTTACAGTAGCATCAAAGGTGGAATCCGAACCAGAGGTGAAAAAGGAAACCTCCGAGAGGCCACAAAAACCTGACCACGATGCTTATCCAAGTCTACCAGGAACACCAGAGCCGCATATCACTGAAGTGAATGTAAAACAGACGAAAAGACAGAGTCTACCACCCGAACTGACGCCGAGAAAAAGCAGCAAAAACGAGGTGGAAGGAATAAGTAAATCGGCGACAATAGCTGGTCTAGCGAGCTACACGACACCAGTAGCGGACAGTGGAACCTTCCAACATCCACAAACTGAACATTTAAAGGTGAGTAGCAATGAGTCAAACCTCAAATAATATTTCTTGCTTCACATACATCGCCAGTCAGTGTCTATCCCGGGGGAGGGGCGTTTGAGGTGGATCACACAGTTTCCAGGGGGAAAGAGGGGGGTCAGTCGACACCAAAAGAGTAGAAGGGGGGGGGGGAAGATAAAAAATTGACTGCCAATTATGGTGGGTCATAAGAATATTACAGAGAGCCTCATGGGTGAATCAGGTTACATCAATGATCGATCGATCCCTTGTTTGAGCCTTCATGCAACTAACGTCATCTCACTTGCTCTTCTATGTGGTAAAGTGCTGCGTTCCTGTGTCAATTATTCAGGTTCATACTAAGGTGGAGAAATCCCACAGTGAGCCGATGTTTCCTCCAGTTAATGATCCAGCGAAACCGAGCGATAAGCCGCCCGCTGGTCATATGCACAGCAGTACAGACGCTCGAAAGCTTAGTGTCCAATCCTCTGCCTCGACTGGAGGATCGGGAGAAAGAAAACCCCGACGAACATCACGCGGAACGCATCAAGGCACTTCTTTAAACGAGGTAAAGTTTACAGGGATCAATGTCAAAATCCGAGCAACTGCACACCTACCCCTCCCCTTACCCAACATCAACCGTAAATTCGACTGTTGTTGGGTTATGGGAAGGGTGGGTGCGTAGTTACTCAGATAAAGACATTGATCCGGTAATTGTCACCATTTACTGAGACCGTTAAGTCTTATCATCTCTACTAAACTTTCATCATTTCGTTTTATATCTATTATATATTCCTTTTCTCTTTGCATATACTCCTGCATTTCAGCTGGAAAGCTTGTTTTCAAATCCGGTTTACGTCAAACCTCAGAGACCATCGGTGTCCAGTTTGCACGGACCACGTGACGGGGGAGAAAGAAAACATTCACACGAGGTATAAGGAAATCATGATAGAAATTCATTCCTTTCGCTTGATGCTGACGATTTGATACTATGATGTTAACTGACTTGGATACATCTGCTTTGTTTCACAGATGGCTCAGAGGCCGGGGTCACGAACATCCTCGAGAAACACAGATGAAACAATGCTTTAAAAGAAAGATAAACGTTTCCAAGCAATTAGAAGAGATCTGCCGTCTAAAAAATCCGGAGTCCGTCTTATTTAAATAATATGAAATGTTCTTGTCGGAGCAATTTCGACATTCGCGGAGAAGAAATAGAAAACTTGCGTTTTTTAAAAGGATTTAATAGGCCAAAATATTAGCTCCATCCTTTGTGAAATTTAGAGTGGACTTCGAAAATAAAAACAAACAAACTATCACCACGAGCCTATGAAAACTCAAAGTAGACATGTACAAACCAAACATCGAAAGCCCAGGAAAAAGCACGTGGCAAAGGCGTGGTTGGTATTTATTTTTGCATGTGATTGGTTGATAGGGCGGCGCGAACCTTCTCGATCATTTCCAGGGTGCAGCGAAATAGAACCAAAGCAATCCAAGATAACATTTAACATACAATTTAGGCATCTGTAAGAGCTTTTGAATACTTAGTACTTGAACGCAGCCACTTTGAATTAAGAGTGATAACAAAAATACCTATAATTTTACAAAAAAAAACACCTGAAATAAAGTTGCACTTAAGTTGAAAAAGAGAGAGAAGGGCTTTTATGCGTATCTTCGTTTAAGTATAAACAAACCATAGCCCAAAATGCCCAAAACACAAAACGGAAGCCAGTAAAGAGGGCTCTGAGTTTAACTCACAAAGAGATCAGATTCTCTTTAGCTTAATGAGTCAAGTACCTGACCATTGAAATTAAAACTCCCATGGGCTCAAATCCTCGTTTCTTTCAGTCCCACGTGTTTAAAAATTTCTTATCTCTTCTATCGTTTCAAATCTGAACTCCGAAACTTCTAACAGCAAAACAGACTTAACAAAAGAATTCTCTTTTTGGTACATACTGCACAAAAACAGAGGAATTACAGGTAAATGTGGTGATTGTTGTCAAAATACACATTAACTCTTGCAGTTGATAGAAAAATAACCAACTGTTGACTACTCAATTTGACTTTTTTTTTTTAGCAAACCTGATGGTTCTTAAGCAATAGAGAAGTAAATTCTCAAGTAAATTCAATTTAGAGAACAAAAAAGTAATGAAAACCTCTCACAACAAGTTGGAAATTAATCCTTTATTAATTACTGTAAAAACCCAGGTCAATAATTACTGATTTTACACAAAGAACAAAAAATAGCTTTTCAACACACTTAAGTCAGAAACAAAGACACATGCAGAACAACTTGACAGTCTATCAAACATCATAACCAATCAGGCTTCGTCTTCCTATGACTTCACCAACATAAAACCAGAAGGCAATCTCCACAGCAACCAAAGTATTTGCAGCAGCCTCCTTAACTGTAACATCAAGGAACTTGCCCTTCATGGCAGACTCTTTCAGACCAAGAAAGCTTTTCCTGATGGCTGGCCAGTCTGATGGCTTTGGAGGAAGCATCTCCACTTTGGCATTATTCAAGAAAGTCATAACAGGGGGCTGTGCTTTCTTAGCAGCATCTGGGTGTAAAAGAAAATCTGTTATCTAAATAAACAGTAATTTTTGCAAGGTCTAAAATAATTAAACAAAACTAGCTTCTGACCACACCTCAGAGTCTTCATCAGCCACTTATTTATTACCATAAAAAAAAACAGATCACTTCTAGCTGTTTTTACACAGACATTTTTCAACAAACTGAGGTCAGAAATAAAGGAACAGACAGTACAATTACAGTACAGTTCATACAACATTCAAAACAATCAAACAAGACTGTGAGATGCAATGTCCACAATGAATGTAAACAGTAAGGTGTCACACACTTATTACAAATGTAAAATCTTATTACTATTCTTTCCTCATTCCCTTAAGAAAATATTTTGCAAAAAACACTAAGCCGATTAAAACACCTATATCTAAAAAACACAGCTTTAAAAACTAAAACTTCTTGTTGTAACTATTGGCTACTACCATGTAATATTCCAACACAGTGGCACTGGGACAGCTAAATCAAGAATGAGAGGGAAAGAGCAACAAATTTTGTAGAAAGGGAACCTTATGTTCTATGGCAAAAACCAATTTTAACCAATTTTGAGTTAGTTTTCCTTCTACTCGCAAAATTAGCGGAGTTCAACAAGCTAACATATTCCTGCTACTTTCCTTCCTTCATATAATACTATGCAAGATTGCAATTTTTCAAAAGATCCTTGCTTCAGAAAATACTTTGCCAGATTGTAATTTTTCAAAAGATCCTTGCTTAAGAAAATACTCCGCCAGATTGTAACTTTTTAAAAGATTCCAAAAAATGGTATCTTCACAATCGATTAAAACAACTTAAATCGGTAAGAAATACAGCCACACTACGAAGTTAGACTTTCAGTCTTCGATTTGATCTCTTGCGTTTTGGATCATTTTCACCAATTTGCTCCTCTAACCATCGCTTATGTTACATCACATTCAATTTACTGAACGGTGAAAACTATTACAACAGATTTCTTGCCATAGTATTCACCACAAAGTTTTACCAGTAAGTTGAATATCAGCCCACCGATAGCCGGTCTTTTCGCTACAAGATTACACAAACAAATAAGGTAGAAAAAAAGAGATCTAGAAGAAAAAAAATGACTGAAATAGCAAAAAATTACTTTAATTTCTTACCAAGGGCTAGAAATGATATTCTAGTGACCAAACGAGGTGTTGCAGTCGCAATTTTCTGTCCAAAGTTTACCAACTTCTGCGCCATTTTGGATTCTTACGCCGAAGAGCTCTACCCAACATGCAATACGAGCAGCATGACTTACGTGGTCATGCGCATTATGGTAATATCATACCACGTGCGTTAGTTGTGTTCCTGAAACTTTTCCAATGGGTAGACCAGGTAAGGTAATTTATCATTTCTTGCTCATCAAGCAGAATTTTAACATCTACTGATAAGAATTACGCATTTCAGGTTTTAGTCCGCGTGGTGGCCGTGGAGGAGGTGGAAGAGGTGGCGGCGGACGAGGTTTGTAAACATCATACACTAACTGAATTCCCAGCTGAATCGAATCGTGCTGTTTTGCGTTGACCTCGTGTCTGATTATAGTTTTAAGGGATCCTTTTTCAAATCTGTGCAGCAAAGTAAATTTTCATTTTGATCAGGGATGAAGGTCTTGCATGTGAGCCCAACATTTCGATAGATATAAATGTTGATCTCACGGACAATGCTAAAACGTGCTTCAGTGTACTTCTCATGTCATCCTTCACAAAGTCGTGCATAATCTTGTATGAAAATTTTGTTGTTGGAAAGCTATCAAAAGTCTAATCACTCATCCGTGTGTTTCGAGCCAAACAGGACTTTGTATTTGAATCTATCAAGTTGGTAATTTAATATGAGAACACAGCAACACATTACCAGAGACTGCAAGATCTTATCCATGTGACTGTTGCATGAAAACACTAGAACTACTAATACCCTCTTTGGATGAGGTACTACAGCTGCAGTCCAGTATAAGTTACCCCTATTCCCACAACCTGAACAATTGGTCAGGTTTTATAGGATTTGGCTGGGTTGCTAAGAACTCAGATCATCTGCTGAAATTTAAAGCAAGGCTGCTCAATGATGGTGGACTTCAGAAAAGCCCATAGTGCCTTACCAAGAGATCTCAACAAAAAATCCAACATGGAGACAGCTGCTTTTTCATTCAACAAATTTTGCAGGCAGCCAGAGCCTTGAGTTCATTAGTACTCTTTTATACTCTTGGGTAGAGAGAGAATCCCAAGCACTATGAGCTAGCTTGTCTACCCAAGAATACAGTGCTGACTCAAATCGTACCTCAATCACAGAACAGACCATGATCCTGCTGGTTAACCGTTTCTCCTCTAGAAGAGACCAATAAGTTATTCCACTGAACAATATCAATACATTGTCAACATGATGAGAAGAAAAGAAAAGATTGTTAACAAAGGGATACTGTTTGATTTCAATACCAAATTCTCAGGGCTATAATCACAGGATGTATTTAAAGGACATTCCATAGAATTGATTCCTAGATCTTGGTAATAAAAAGGTACAAAAACACAGTTTGTGGGAAGATCAGAGTGCCCTCTGTTCAGGCAGTGACAAAGAGAGATATTTGAAGTGAGCTTTGACCCTTTCCAATTTTTATCTCACCAGATTCTATGTTTGTAACATTAGTTTTCTTTAGTGCAATGGAATGGTATTCTGCAGCTACTAAGAATTCTTGTTATGTTCATAGGTGGTTTCCGTGGGGGTGGTGGTAGAGGTGGAGGATTTGGAAGAGGTGGAGGAGGTGGCAGAGGTGGAAGAGGTGGAGGCTTTGGTGGTCGTGGAGGAGGCAGAGGCGGAGGCAGAGGTTTGATGTCATTGTTTATATTATCATTGACACAACCAGCACTTAATTGTGAACACATTTTAGATTAAGTAAAAGAAAAGTTTGTGTAAAGTACAAACTCCAAAGGACCATTTAAATAGGTCACAGGTCAAGTAGCCAAGTGGCCCTTAAGTTTGTGTACTTATCTCTGATTTTTGCAATGCATGGCTAGGAAGGGAACTGAATGCCTTGCCCTCCTGTGGCCCACAAGTGTTGGTACTTATCCCTGATTTTTGCTGTGCGTGTCCAAGAGGGGAACTGTATGCCTACCCCTCCTGTGGCCCATAAGTGTGGGTACTTGTCCCTGATTTTTGTAGTGCATATCCAGGAGGAGAACTGTATGCCTACCCCTCCTGTGCCCCATAAGTGTAGATACTTATCCCTGATTTTTGCAGTGCATGGCTAGGAAGGGTACTATATGCCTACCCCTCCTGGATAGGGGCAGCTGCTCTGTCAAAAGTTTCCTTGGTAGTTCTGTGGTGCCTTTAACCCTTTACACCTTACCATCAGTGTGTATCTCCATACCAGACTTAATACATTCCACAAGGAACTAAAGAGAATTTGTTTAGCCCTTGAACTCCTAGATGTGACTGTGAATTCTCCCCTTGAGCTGCTACATATTTTTTACATATCTTGCAAATTAATTACAAGAATCTGGTGTTAAATCAGGATAAAAACTTCTTCCTGATAATTTTTGAGTATTCTCATTACCTGTTTGCTGGATAATATATGGATATTTTAAGCAGAAGTTACATGTTAATCACAACTGGGAATTAAAGGGTTGAAAATCAAGAGTTTCTCATTATTGATGTTATTGTTGTTGTTGTTGAAAGGAGGTGGCCGTGGAGGATTTAAAGGTGGAGCCAAAGTAACAATTGAGCCACACAGACATGAAGGTAATTTTGAAAGGTTGAAATGTTGTGATATTTAACATCCAAGTGTAGTTAAAATGATGACAAGTAAAAACTCTCCTAATTTAACTATCCTGCTCAACAGTGACAGTTTTTGTAAGCTAAAGTTGCTGTTAGTTATGGAAAGTTCAAGCTTAGAAAGAATTGAATGCAGGCTTTAGTAACAGGGTGTAATAACTCTCTCTACCCATTAACTACCATGAGTGGCTAAGGCAGAATTTTTTTTACAATACCAATCAGACTAAACATCAATTAGAGGATTATTAACTGATTCAAAAAAGAAAAAAATACAAATGATAATGGAACGTTGGCCTTTCTGGGCTCAAAACACATGGCGTTGTTGATGAATGCGAGGAAACCATAGCGCATGTCAGGAAATGCTGACATGCACAAATTGAAGGTAAGGCAATGCAACAGAAATATGTTAAAGCATATGGGTGTTGATATACTGCTCATCAACCAATCTCTGGGTGCTCCAAGGCAAGCACAAGACTAAAAGTAATATTTTAGTCATTCTTTATGGTTGATTTTTCTTTTCATAACAATAGGAGTATTTATTGCTCGTGGAAAGGAAGATGCACTGGTCACAAAGAACATTGTCCCTGGAGAAACAGTATATGGAGAGAAAAAAATATCGGTGGATGTACCAGTAAGATACGCTTTTTTATATATATACTCTTTTCTTCATTCAGTAATGAACATTTCTATAAATAATTTTCTCAAATATGAGAAAACTGGTCAATGCCGTCAAAAGGTTGTTGGTTTCATTGACAAAATTTAAGGTGAATCATCACAACCATCTCAGAGAATTATCTTTGAATTAAATAAAAGTTGAGTAATCATTTTAAACCTTCTGACATCCAAATGAATTGAGAAGACATTGATCTGTAATTTGGATTGTGAAAAATCAAGGTTAATTATCTGAAGTTGGCAAACTCTTGAATCAATCAATTCATTGTTTCTTTGGATTTTGTATTTTATTTGTTTAATACACTGGGAATGTTGAAAACATGGCTATTTGACATGGTTTGATGCTACCCTGGTTTACAGATTCAATGAATGTTACCAAAGAAGTTACAATTCATAGACCCAACGTTTTGACACTCCTGTCTATTGCCTTCATCAGGAGTGATCTAAATGCTGCAACAAGAGGTCCTTTTATACAATCTCTCATTAGCTGCCTTTTTTTCTGACAAGGTGTGAATAGGCGCCAGGAAATAAGCCGCCATCATCATTATTTAAGGGAGTGTGGGAGGATGATGAACTTTAACCTATTTATTGTTGGCTATTTCTTTTTCAAATTTCCAAGTGTTATACAGACATTAAGGTGACCTTAATAAGCTACATTGTACCTGCAGGGTTTGTGGTCAGGATTGAAAACCAAATATACAGATGTGTAGGATATGTGTGGGATTAGAAAGGGGAATTTTAAAGGACCTTTTGTTACTGTTTAGGATGTTGGTGCTGGTGCCGAAAAAGTTGAATACAGGGTGTGGAACCCATTTCGCTCCAAGCTTGCAGCAGCCATTCTTGGTGGAATCGACAAGATACATATGGCACCTGGATCTAAGGTGTTATACCTTGGAGCTGCATCAGGAACAACTGTGTCTCATGTTTCTGATATTGTTGGTCCAGTAAGTAATGACCTTTTACACCTTAACATCAGTATGCATATTCTCCATACTGATCTCTATACATTTCCAAGGGTGCTGACAAGGAGAATTTGTCAAACAATCAAAAGTTTGTTTAGTTGTTAATCATTTCGTTTATTCTCATGATAGTAATTTGTGACTCGGGGGTGATAATGTAAGGAGAAATTAGATGCTAGTCACTCTTAGGGGCTAAGAGGATGAAAGAAAAGCCTTTTGACTTTTTAGAAATTAGGTAATGACTTAATACTAAAGTGTGATAATTCCCAGTATAAACTGGGAGAACTGTGAAAGGGAAACAAAAATCTCCAAAACTATCAGAAAGGTCTCTTTGCAAATATCTAAGACTAGCATCAAGAAAATACTGGAAGATAAAAAGTTTATCTACAGTCAAATAATTTTTGATTTTGTCAGGGAAAGTATAGCTTCTTATGTTGTTTTGACAAATTTGTTCAAGAATTTTGTAAACTTGATCATCCCCCATGAAGAAAATATAAAAACTATGAATGAGTGTTACTATTTCAGATCCCCTCAATGTTTATCCATCATTTGTTGCTTTTCAGGATGGTCTTGTGTATGCAGTTGAATTTTCTCACAGATCTGGCCGTGATCTCATAAATGTAGCGAAAAAAAGAACAAATGTCATTCCAATTATAGAAGATGCCAGACATCCACATAAATACAGAATGCTTGTTGGTGGGTTTTCTTGCTTCAGTTACTCGACATTGTAGTTTCTTACCTAAATCTGAGGAATTAATTGCCTGGTAATTTGCACTGTTCTCACATCAGTGTAATATTAAGCAATTGTTTTGGTGCCATTTCTTCCCAATATTTTTTCGATGGACTAGAATTGGCAAGAACATAAGGCGACTATATCTGTTTGTTTAATATGGTAACCAGTGAAGCCAATTTCCCAGCCAGTGTTGCATATAGATGACATGAATTACACAAGCAAAGCTGGACAATGTTCTACAAACTTTACTAGACATGAATTAAATGTTAAACTTAAGCTATTTGAGAGTTCCATGCATATTTCTTTTTTTATTAATTAGATATTTGGTAAAATTTTTCTTTTCCAGGAATGGTAGATACTATTTTTGCTGATGTGGCTCAACCAGACCAAGCCCGTATTGTTGCTATTAATGCTCATAACTTCCTGAAAAATGGAGGACATTTTGTCATTTCTATAAAGGTATGCAGAAAAATGGAATAAGATGTTCATTTTTACACCCTTTTCCAAGGAAATTTGGCCAATCAGAATTTAAGAAAGCTTTGTTACTCTGAGTTTTTCCAATCTGTGCTTTTGTCTTATTAGTTAGCAGCAATATTTTCAGTTTTTTTCAGCATTTAGTGTTGGTTACTTTATTTGCTAATCATCCTTTTTATTTGGTGTCATGAATTTATTTATACACCCTTTGACGAAGTTGTTAAAACATCGTCAAGATCATTCACATTATGGAGCCAGATCAAAACCACTCATAATAATCTCTACATTTGTAGGCCAACTATTAAGCTTTGTTGTAGTTTATGTAAAACTCTTATCTTGTACCAAGGAATATCCCATTTGTTAGTCCTGTATATCTTTTCTTGATATACACACACACCTATTGAGTATATTAAGAAAATACAAGTGGCTTATGGTTTTTGAACTCCACATCTCCAATGAGTGACTAAGACAGAATTTCTCCTTAAAATATTTATACAATATCAACCAGATGAGTGATGAGAATAAAGAAAAATATCAATGTGGGGATAATAAGTTGATCCAAGATTAAATTCTCTGAACTAACATTGTAAGAATTGTATGGTTGACAGTATAGAGAATTACAAATTTGACCTAGGAGTTTAAGGGTTAAGGCAATAGACCCCACTTTTTATCCACTTACTTGTGTAACAACCCATGCAGGATGTTGGTAGAACACAAAAAGAGTTGGAAAATCATTAGTCGGAAGTGAGGGATTCACAATTTTTCCTGGCAGTCTCCCAACATCCTAACTGGGTTAATAAGTGGGTGAGGCCATTTAAAGTACAGTTAATTGCTTTAATCAAATAATTTTAAAATTAAACAAAGTATGTCTTAATTTTCTATTGGGTTACCAGTGCAAAAAACAATCAGTTTTGGACCAATCAGGGCATTCATATTACGTCAGTTATTTTGTAATTCATGGTATACCACATGTAGGCATTGCATTATCAGTACAGTATTCAGGTTATGTAGTGATGGACCATATAATTGTGTCATAATCAGACATAAATGACAGATCTTGTTTCATTGTGTCACTACCAGGCAAACTGCATTGATTCAACAGCAGAACCTGCTGCAGTATTTGCAGGAGAAGTAAAGAAGATGCAAGCAGAGAAAATGAAACCCCAGGAACAGTTGACACTGGAACCGTACGAGAGAGATCATGCTGTAGTTGTTGGAATTTACAGGTAAAGCATATACAACCTCCTGTACTAAAACATACAAAACCCAAAGCTTGCCTGGAATTAGTATTTTCAAGCATTTCCTATTAACCATTTTTCATTAGTAGGGGTAAGAAGTTGGCTCATTTGGGAAATTATTTTCAGGGCATTGAAATTGAAATTATACTTGGAAAGTAACACCCCTTTTCCAAAGCCATGATTAGTTTCATTATAAACTATACCCTATTTGCAAAAAAAACATTTTAGATCCTGTTTCTTGCATATAAGCCAACATAAGGGTATACTTCTCAGAAAATACTTGTATCACACAGCAGTGCTCAACTAGACATTTCCTTCAAAGAGAAACTTACATTCTATTGACTTAAGCAAGATTTTAGAACCTTTCTGATTTTGATGTCTCCTCCACTTCCTGTCAATGTATAACGGATCAAATTCCTTGGCAGGGGAGAGAGGAATGTTGATATTAACATTTGACTCTTACATTAGCAAGGAAAAGAAGTAGTGGTCATAGAAGGAAATTTTATTGATGGACATTGCATTTCTTTTGTTACAGACCACCTCCAAAGAAGGACAAGCAGTAGAATAGATTTCAGTTTCTAGGATTTTATTGTAACTTATGTCACATTTTGAAATAAAAAAATCAGTAATTTCTATATAATTTTAACATTCCAAAGAGCTTTTGTCTTAAAATCGTTACCGCTGCCTATACTTTTTAAGGTTGCATCAGTCCTTCTCTCTGTCGGAGTCAATTTTTACTGTAATAACAACCATATAAATGGGAGTTAACTTGGCTACTAGGATATTTCCTGGTATTTGGAAGTAACCTATGTTTATTTTGATTTCCAAACCTGCAAGGAAGCCTAAAAAAGTGAATTTCAATATAATTTATTTTGAAAACGCTTCACAAAGTTGTATGGGGATGACTGATCATGTTTTGATAAATGTACATGTATATATCAACGTTGATTTGTTCCTGCGCTCTGAAATAAAGTTGTGTCTACCTGGTAAATTGGCACTTCAAGAGTGGTTCATCTAGGTTAATTAATGTGCTATTAAATTAATTTTTTTCTATCCCGTTGAGAGAGCCATGAGGTTTTTAAAAGTCTGACAGAGTCCTTTTGAGGATTATAAGCAAAAGAATGACAATTCTCTTCGAGGTCAGAATTTAAAATGAGACATTGAGAGTTTGTTAATTTTGAAAATAGACCTGCCAGTCACGAACATTAAGTAACACAGACGTTTTCATGCAAATAGTATTGGTGCAAGAAGAAAAGGATCTGCCTTTTTCGGTGGTACATATATTTGTATAACTTCCTGAGATAGACAAGGCTCCGCACTCCTTGCGCGGCTCAAACTTGTCCCGCTTCGCCCTGACAACCTCAAGTAAGCCTCGCTGTATACTTGAATCATAGTACGAGAAAAGGACTTTTGTCAGCAGTTCAGGTTTTTATGCCTACGGAAAATTGCACGACTAAACAGGAAAATGACAGGAAATGAAAGATGAAAATTTTCACACACTATTTGTGTTTATTTCACAAATTAAAGTCATCTATCTACAGTTTCCCTGGAAACAAAGTAATAAAAAAGAAGGTGGCTGATTGAATTAAAAAAAGCCTAAGAGAAGCTGTATGAATTTATCTGGAACACAATTTTTCCCACTTATTTTTAACGGTAACGAAAATAATTATTTGGGTTGTTATAAAATCACAGAAATACTTTCACAAAAACCAAAAAGGGCGTGTTTTCAGTTGGAAACTGGTTATACGATTTCAGCCATATTGGTTATGAACTGTGTTACCTTAGCCGTTTACAAGTTGATATCGTGGCCTGTGAAGTCGATCTGGCGAAGATAGTGAGTAGAAGAAGAAAAACATTGACACAAATTTGGCTCAGATATGAAAACATACTCAGACAGTCCACTGTTTCTAGTTTCAAAAATACAAAAAATAGGCGTTTATAAGTCGACCTTCGGCAAACTTCTCCCGTTCTTATCGCCTCGAGGAGGGAGGAGGATTTTCGTTTTTGTCCCCCCCCCCCCCTCCCTTCCCACCTTTATTAGCTGTTAATGAGAGTCAATTTTCTATAATGCTCCCTTTATGAAAGGCTCTGTTAATGACGACTGACCCCCTTTGTTCCCTCTGAGAATCATGTGATCCCCAAAAAGCAAGGTCAGTTACCTTAGACGGAAATAACTCTTGCTCCTAAAATAAAATATTTAACATCCCTTTGCAGTGTCTTGTTTGGATACATAGCTTTAGAATTTACTAAAAATGCTACAATCTAATTGGCTACGCTATTCGCTATCCATTCCGTAATTGATATTGAGTAACTTGAAAAGCTTGTGTGCAGTTGCAAACAAAATAAAACAACAACACTAGCCTGTCTTTTTGTTAAGTTTTGAAAAACGACTGGAAGATGAACACTTAGATAGTAAGATCTTTCGAGCTTATAATCAAGATAAAAAAAATGAAGTTATTATTTTTTCGTGTCATTATTTAACAGGTGTTTGGAATAACGTAATTTCCACTGGTGTACATATCCCGATCGGCCAATTTCGCCCTTAAAAAACATTACTTTTCAAGATTCGTATTTCATCAGTGTTCAGATTTTTAGAACAAGATATGAAACAAAGCTCCCCTGCGGCTTTACCACTCAGGGATCTTTTAAACTTTCTTTGATAGACATTTATATCACCATACAGACCATGCAGACCCGGTCTATTCGTGTCCAATCCTTCCATCATTTCGGCATGCTACATACGAGAGCTGAGGGAGGCCCGTCCTCTTCCCCCTGCCTCATCTCATTAGTTGGAATTTCCTTTAAAAGATAGCTTTCGAATTGAAATAAAAAACACTCATCTGCTATTACAGGAAGTCGCACGTTTTTTGCCAGAAGCGGTTTGTAATCACAGGGTGTGTCCTTGTAAGACGACAAAGGCACATTTGGATGCGGTTCTGCACGTGAAATTGGGTCAGAGTATGACGTTGTACTGCTTTGTTCGGAAGCACCAGTTCGACTGTCGGTTGGGTTGCCTGTTGATGGATTATCTTTTATCTCAGACGTTGTGGCAACGTCTGAACTTTTTGAGTTTACTTCGAGTGATTTCTTTTTTAAAAGGTCGTCCATGGGTACCATTAATTCCACCTCTCTTGGTCGTGTTGTATTCCAGTACATCTTTTTAATGATAAACAGGTTTATCTCCGCTGTTCTGGCTCTAAACAGCAAGCGGTAAGGCCAGTTCATTTGCAGCAGTGTGGCGATCCAGTAAAATACGGGACTCATCCAAAATGGCTTCACATTCATATCGGTGTAGGCAGAGATGCGCTTTCCCCAGGTCAAATCGAGACATGCCAAGTCGGTATATTTCCAGCGAGATGTATACTCGTCCAATCCTTCCATCTTCTCTGACATTTCTTTCAGCTTTCTCTCACAAACCTCTTCTGTTTCTTGGTCACCGAATAGGATTTCCGGGTAACAGTTAATGCGAACCAGATCCACGCCCTTCAGGGGTGGCCTGTCTCTCTTGGAAACGTCCACCCATGACCCGATTACGAACTCTTCACATGCCAGTTGTGTCACTACTTTCACAGTATAGGTCTCTGTATGAGCTACTCGGTTTCGTTTAAGGTCCCTGCGGTGGACCGTTCTATTTCGCTCTTCGCGATGATAACACTCCACAACAATGTTTATCCTCGGGGGGACTTCTCGCAGGCGTTGGATATACTCCAAAGCTGTGTCATCTTCTACGATGTTTTTAAGGTAATGCAGCTCTTCGGAATAGAAGCTCTCTAGCAGGACGATCACAGCACAGACGCCAACCATCACCGAGGCAAAGATTTTCATGACGTAAAACACTGAACCGTAGGTGGTGCAATGAGTCATTTCACAACCAACAAGGAAAAAAAGCCACAGATAGAAAGAGAAAGACATGCACATAGAAACAAGCCCTGCGCACGGACAAATGTGACGAGTTCCTTCGGATTTTTTTTCTTCCCTTACGATTTTCTCCTCATAATCTAGGACGGCTTGTTGATATTCTTGGACGGCTTGATCGAGGTCCTCTTGATTTTTTGCAGAGGCAGCTTTCTGTAGTCGTTTCTCCTGATCCTCCTCAAACTGTTGCCTCTCTTTCTTTCTGAGCTGTTCGTAGTAGTCCAGCGGTCTTTCGAAATCGCTTCCCGATCTGATTAAACTGACGTAGCCAGTATAGCAGCCGAGCAAACACGGCACCAATATTTGCAAACAGACAGCCAAGCTAATGACCAGTGGCATCACACTGGGGTATTCGTCAAAATTGATTGTGGAATTCATGGTCTGAGGAGGCAAATTTGTGTCCGTCTATTGAACTAATTAATTTTCACCTTCCTCACTCTGACTTACATTTTGAGGCCCAGTTCAAACGTCGAACTTCACATGAGACAACCTAAATTGCAATTTCGTACGACTCAAATGGGTAAAGTTCAACCACTGATAAAGCAACTTTTAATTTGTTCAAGTTCGATCTATCGAAAAGTGGACGTTTGTCGTCACACGTTCCATCCGACCTAGGCAGACGGACAGAACATGTAGGTCGATCCAAATTCAGTTGGACGAACTCAACTAATTCAAAAGTTAAACTTAACATAAATCTAATTCTCTCAATGATTAATTCTGTATGCAGTTCGACGTTTAAACTGTGCCCTCGACTAAATAAAGGCAGCTAACTAAAGAGACGTGATGGATGATATTGATCGCTGTCGAGATAATCCCAGTTCTTCAAAGGTAAACAGCGACAATGTTGAGTCACCCGAGATCCATAGACGATGAGCTGTCTCATCTTTTCGGCAAAATCCGCGCACAAGTTGAAAAAAAAAATCAGCGAAAACAAAAACTTTTTGTGCGCTGTACTCCTAGAGTTTTTGCGCGACGCGCCAATATTTTAGGAGCCATAACGCTCCTGTTTCGCTGGATTTGTTTGACTCGTGCGACAGAATTCGCCGAAAAGGAGAGATTATTCATAGTCTGCGTGATCAATACAATCGTGAAACTTTCTATTCATTGATCGTTCCTGGTTTCATGATGAACTCCTTATCGGCTAAACATTGTAATAACACCAACCTGCGCTTGAAAATTGTAAATAAGATTCTTTTTTCCTGTTTCAAGTGATAATTTGGCAAACATGGTACAATGCATGAAAAATTTGGGATGATAGGATTAAAGTTGCCCATAATTTAGGACTCTGGAATCACTCGGATCCATATACTGGTAATTTTTCATAAAGCACATCCAGGCGATTTTTTTTTTTGCCGAAAGTGTCGCATTGTTCGTAAAGTACTCGCTTATATCCGCAAACATACGTCTAATCGAAAGACAAATGTGTTGCTTTATCCATCGGTAAAACAAGGTGTAACAAAGTTAGATATTTTTTCTGCTTCTTTCCGAAGGGTTCTGCTAAATTACCTTTATTAACTGAAACGAAGAAATCACTTCATGCGCCCAAAAAAAGAGAATAACTCGATCTTACCTCTTTTGCACGTCACCGAAATACACGAACGTGACTTGCTTGCAGTCAACTGTACAGAGTCGCCGGCGAATTTTTGCTCGTTTAACGTTTCATACACTCTGTTAAGTGGTTGCAGTTTTAAAAAGTGCTCTGAGCGGCGATCCTGTACAGAGTAATATGGTTTTCACTCTGGGTAGACAGTACTATTTTGGTTGGTTAACAACCTATCAGAATATTGCGTAAGTTATTGCGTAAGTTGACTGCCGGAAGAAATGTTTAATTAAAAATTCACTCTCATCCGTTCCGTGTTTCCATATCCTAAGTCTGATAGTTTCAATGACAAGTATTTTTGACACAAATGTAACACACGACGTTGAATTAACTTTATTCGTTGATAAATTCAAGGTATTCAGTTACCCAAATCAAATGAAAGAGAGACTTAATATTCGAACAATTGAAGTTACCTTCTCACTTCGTAAAACTCAGTCACGTAAGAAAAATTGGCCTTTTCACGCATCACGAAGAATATCCAAAATTATTTCACGTTCACGCGAAATTCAAAACGATCATGTTTCACATAAAAATAGAAAACCAAATTCACGAATTCGATACTTTTTTGGTCTTGATCAGACTTAAGCGACAAAATAGGACGTAATGTCTTACCTTATTTTTTAAAAGAACCACTCGTGGTCTGTTTTATGATTTCAATTGATCCATTTGAAGTCCATATACAGTCAAATCCCTAATCAAAACCTAACCACAGCCGTGTGAGCACAATACGTACACATTTTCAAATAGCCGGAAATTCATCACAGAAAACAATATGGTTCACGAATCACATTTAATTCAGCTTTTCATTCACGGGTCATGTTTGAATATAAAAATTATTTCAAGTGGACATGAAAAGATCTTATTATATTTTTTGAAACTTCCTTCCACTAACTCACTCATACGCAGCCATTCTTAGCCCACCCATCAATCTTTCGATCTTGATTTTTCATTCAATCCCTTTTTCCCCATAATTTTGCCTTGATGTTATTTCCTCGCATAACCCATTGCCGTTTTAACTCGTGGATAAACCGCGAAATATGGGAAAGAGTAATGTTGGGATTCGTAACTCGTTTTAAAAGCTCCGTCATCTTTATAATTGAGGCTAAACTGCACGAGAAATTTTGCAATTACATGGGAATAGTAAGGCGCAGGTAGTAAATCATGGGCCAATCAAAGGATTCAGAGGGACGGAATACACTTCAGGTAAGCCTATGAGAACCCAAAGAAAAAAACCTCTCAAACGGAATAAAGCGCGGGAAAAAGAAAGGCTTGAAGTCCTTATTGGTTTCAATTACGCCTCTGATTGGTTGAGAGCGTGAGAATTTTTTTTCTTCGTGAGGTCAATCACAAAGCAAAATTAACTCTTTACACTCTACCATTAGTATCGATATTCTCTTTCTCTCTCTTCATTTCCCAAGTTAACGACAAGGTGAATTTGTTTAACAATCATGAGTTTCTTAAATTACATTTGATCAAAGGTGATACTGAAAGGGGAAATTAGATGCCCGTCACTCTTGGGGCTGAAAGGTGAAGTGAGACTGATGAAATCGCGGATTACTTTCGACACTCAGTTGCGAGTTCCTCTCTTCCTATAATTTTTTTATCCTGTCAAGATACCCATACACTTTTAGTATCTATCATTATTCCATTGCAATTAAACTGAAAGATAATTTGTAGAGTTTTGCTGATTGCTGAGCAAGGGCTTGTTAGCCGCGTCAATGTCCTGTATGATGTCATCATGTGCGCCAGGTACAGTTTGAGCAAGATAAACCTGTTTTAATGCGGTCTGTTCCGAGAAAACAGGTTGGCAAAACACCTTCTTTCTCAGCGTAAATTGAAGAGAGCTTGTTTGAGAGACGCAGAGCCATCTGTAAATCCAAGACAACTGAAGAAATGTAAAACACCAGAAGAACTGCTCGTTCATCCAGAAGGGCACGGACTCCTTCTTATGGTACAACACAACGTACGGATGGTGATTGGCTACGCTATCCACACGGGAGAAATCAAAATGATGATTCAAATGACGTGTTTTCTCAATTAAGGCTGACTTTTGAACTTCAAACGATTCTGCAGCCGTTCTGTCAAGTGTAATGTCTATGTGAACACGAAGCCTAAAAAGTCGTCCATTTTCAGAGACTTCTAAATTTGACTCATCACACCAAGACGAGTAAACAAATGGCTGGCGAACAGTCTTCCTCCCGACCTTTCTCCAGCGATCTTCTGATCCTTGGTATTCTTGGCGTCCTGTTAAAACATTTGTCCGATAGACAGCCATACGTTGGTGTTTCCATTCATACCTGTCAATCACCATCTCAATTGACGGAGGCTCGCGCTGAAGAGACTTAACGTATTCCCAGGAGAACATGTTATGTAACGCTGCTCTTTCACTCGAGAAAAAAGCCTCCAAGGTAACGAACACTGCGCAGACTCCGCACATGACAGCAGCCCAATAAAACGTAAAGGAGCGCGCTTTGCCATCACCTGTTGCCAGACATGCGCAAACTGCGCAAAGCCACACCCAGAAAGTGAAATTCATGAAAATGGAATACACCCGTATCATTAACATATATCGACTTTGCATTGCGTTTTGAACAGCTTCTAAACGCTCTGGGGATCCTGGTCGGCTCCTTTGAGAAAAACGGACGATTTTGACTAGCATGATGCCTAACCATATGAAAGTTGGACAAAGAACGTGACAAGCGAAAAAAGCAATGACAAATATCATGAACGCTTCAGACTGATCCAAAGCCTTTTTACTGGTCGGGATATTCTCTGGATTTCCCGTGGGGTATGGAAAAGGGCCTGGGGCGGGGACTGAAGTATGAGGCGGTATCGGACCAGAAGTTATGGGCGGTGGGACTTGACAAGTGGCCTTTGACTCAAGCAACCAGTTCTTTCTTCCATGATCCTGCTCGCAAACGAAAAACTCCACGGGCGAAGATCGGTAGCCTGTCGCGCAAAACGAAGTGGAAATGTCTCCCGGACGATTTCCGGCGTGGACTACCTCAATTGAGTTAGCTGGAATTCCCGGGTCGGAGCATGCGTCTTTATTTTCACAGTTCGGTCCGTGCGTGGAGTCCTGACAGAGACATACTGTCTCATTATCAGCGGTGTAAACGCAAGTACCCTGGCCATTACAAGGCTTGTCATAACATTCGTTTTCTCCATTGGCGATTCCTCGACATTTCATTCTCAATCCACTTCCAGCAGTCCATCCCTTTGTAGTCCAACTTTCCCAATAGTTTGTCACGTACTCCGGCCTATGTGCTAGATCTTTCGTACGAAGTAAATCAGTCCCAGATCCAGTATAACTGGTGCCAACCCTCCAGTAGCCATCCCGGTAGTATAAATACCATTCCTGTCGGCTGTGCTTGAATACGGAACGGATCGACGCATAAACGTTTGGAACTTTGGCGAAAAAGTCCGTTCGAGGATCGTTAAGAATTTCAGCTTGATTTCCGGTGACGGTGTCATTCAAATAAACTTTGCCTGAATTGCATCGAAAGTATTCATCGTCCACACAAATAGCTTTGATGTAAGGTGGTCCTAAGACAGTTTTAAATGTCTTATCGAGTGGTGAATAGTACGACCACTCTTTCACGACATCACCGAACAAATCTTTCTTATTTAGCAAGCCAGACGACAACCAAGTCTTCGGATCAAAGTCGTTGCTGAGACGACCAACAGCACCAAATGTTTCTGTGACTTTGAGCCCAAAAGCGAGAAGCTTTTCTCCTTGCGATGTAAGATCTCTGTAGTAGAAGAAGAGACCCGAAGGACGATTAAGATAGACAGGAAAGCCATCGTTGTTCGAGAATAACTCGTAAACTCCTTCCACTTGGACCCATGGCAAAACATTCTCGTCGATGTTCTGGAAAAATATTTTTGGACACATTTTCTTTTGGGCTAAGCTTGGCCCAATAAATGACAGGATAAATGCTAGAAAGAAACTTGAAAACATATTTCAAGCTATCACCTGCTTACTGCGTTTTCTTTGAAAATGTTTCAGCTTTTTAAGTTGAGCAATAAGCAATCGACTAACTTCCGGTGAATATTGCAACAAATCTTCCAAACGGCTTTGACATGCTAAAACGGACCGGAAGTAAAGAAAATTTTATTGTGACGTTAGTTTTACACTCCCTTACCATTTATAGCGCTGAGTAGGACAAAGTCACATCTGTAAACGTATTCATCCAGGAGTTAAATAGTAAATGTGAATAATCTTTAAGAAGAATGTGTAGCGTGACGATCTTCCACTGTCACGTTCCTAACCCTGCCTGTGACTGTGACTGATCGTGTGAGGTTATACGACATAAATAACGCTTGCCAGGTTACAAAGCGCAACGCAAAATAAACGTGCGGTGTTTTTCTTTCGAATTATTTAAGTTGAATTCAAACCTAAATATCGAATATTTTGAGGAAAAAGCGGGTACAGAAATGAGTGGAATGGCAGAGATCGAGGACCCAAGCCGGCGAAATGAGCTGGAAGAAGAGATGTCACGGTAATGGTCGTCAAATGTTGACTTTTAATCCGTGTTTCCAGATCTAATCTCCATAATGTCAGAACATAGTTAGTTTTTCTTGCCTCATAATGATTGACAAATACGTTAAGCTTCCGGCTTTAACTAGTTATTACAATTTGTTACATATTATATACATATAGAATGTTTGTTTCCGCCGGGCGTCAATTAATGTTTTTTCGCTTTTTCCTATGGGTTGACAGTAGTGAAGTGTTAATTTTTGAAATGGTTCTCTTATTTCTTGTCTTTGTTTCTGAATTATTGAATAACCTTTTGGAGTTAATGTGTAACTACCATTAACCCTTAAACTCCAGTAAGTGACCAAGATAGAATTTCTCCTGACGGTACCAATGCAATATCAAGCAGATAAGTAATAAGAATAAAGAAAATATCATTAGGGGATTACTAGTTGATCCAATTCCCAATTCTTTGAAGTGATATCACAAGAATTGCATGACAGACAGTAAGGAGAATTACTAATGAGATCATGGGAGTGGAAGGATTAAAAGTGCTTTGTGATTATGTGTACCTTTTACCAAAACCAAAGTGATTGTGACAGCCAATTAGGACAAAGGGAAATATGGCAACAATCTAATTACTGCAACAGGAGAGTGCTGATTTGTATTTGCATTGTCTGCTAATTGCTACAGATCAAACAGTTGTAGCAGGTATCAAGGAAAAAATTTCAATACTCAAGACTTTTGGCTGCCCCTCTTTGTTATTAAAAAGTATTTGCTCCCTGATGCTTACTACTGCCTTGCTATTTTTCAGGTTTGAACAAGAAATAGCAGAACATCCAATTTCAAGGCCAGTCATAGCCACAAACACATTTCGTATGGCATCACAAGCAATCCAGAATGCAGCTACTGTTCCAGAGGTTAAACCACAACAAGAAATGCCTAATAACCAGCATTTTGTCCAAGGAGCACACCCACGTCCATTATTACAACCTTCTAATCCTAATTTACGACCACCAGTTGTCCAGGGCACTTTGAATCAAGTCCGTCCTCATATGCAGGGTCCAATCCGACATCCTGTGCAAGCCCCTCCCAATCAGTTACGTGGTCCTCGAATACCCCATACCATGACATTGCCACCCAGGATGCCTCCTATGGTACCACAAATGGTCCCTAATCCTGGAGCCATGCCTGTTATGGGCCCTGTAGCAGTACCCATGGTCCCAGTACCCATGCCTGTTCCGTTACCTGGTATGCCAGTGGCAGGGCCAGTTGGTGCCACAGCCGTGCCAGTAATGACTCCTGAGGAACAGAAAGAGTGGGGATCTACATATTCACAGGCTGGGAACTCAGAGGCAAAGGATAAAAAAAAACCTAAAGAGAAAAAATTTTTGAGGGTGGCAGGGAACCAAGTGTGGGAGGATTCGTCATTAGCAGAGTGGGAGAATGGTGAGGTTGTTTGTGCTATGTTGCTGTATTCACCCCCGAAGAGTGACTACCATCTAATTTCTCCAAACAATATCCCTCCTGAATCATGTATTATGGTTATAAGAATTCAGGAAATGATCACTAACTAAGGAAGCTTTTTGATTGTTGAACAAATTCTCCTCATCAGCACCTTGGGAAATGTATTGAGAGAAGCAGAATATGAATACCGCTTTGTTAAGGTGTAAAGGGTAACTTGGCCAGTGAGTCAATCAATCAGGGAGCTGATTATGGTTAGATACCCTGGCCTTGTGTATGCATAGTACTGTAACATCTATCTGTAAATTATGCAATCATTTCTAATCAAAGCTGGAAATATGCTGCTGTACAAATATCTTTAATGATAGGACCTCATATTGGTAGTTTTCCTTTTATCATTAGTTATGGCAAAATTATTTGGAAGTAGCAGACTTAACATGGTAGAATTGCTGACAGTTTTAGTCGGCTACAGGCTCTTAATGAAAACATATGTATTTTCACTAATGATCATTACATTTATTGTTTTTAGACGACTTTCGTGTGTTTTGCGGTGATCTTGGAAACGAGGTTACTGACGAGATCCTCACAAGAACATTTGCAAAATATCCATCTTTACTAAGAGCTAAAGTTGTGCGTGATAAAAAGACAAACAAAAGCAAAGGGTATGGATTCCTTAGCTTCAAAGATCCAAATGACTTTGTCAAAGCTATGAAGGAAATGAATGGTAAGTCTCAGTGATGTTATTGTGGACTGTGAGGGTAAAGGTCATGCAAGTATATTGTATCTGTGAGTCAAACTAGCAAACTTCACAGGTTATTCAATGGGTATTAGAACTTGGAGAGTTCGTTGGGTGCTAAGCAGATTTTTCTCTTTTGAATATCTTGGGCTATTTTTCCTATTCAGATCTGAGGAATATTATGATGTTACCTTGTGATTTCTCTTGCTTCTACCTATCAAAATGAAATCCTTTTTTTAAAAGAAAGGCTGTTTTTCATATGTTGGGAAAATCCCAGATGGTCAGCGAATTTGCTGTTTCCAGACCTTCCAAGAGTTTTGTGATGGATTAAAATTTGATATCTCACAGTAGACATTCCCTATTGTCTGGAATGGGTGGTAAACAATTGGGGTGATTGGGAACATATTTATTTCCCAACACTTCCCTAGCATAAGGGTAAATTGATTATTTTTAAGTAAAAGTAATCTTCCAAATAGCAGCGTAATTGTTTTTTGTACAAGACCATGATGTGGAAAGATTTGTTAAGTGTAACAAGATGAAAATATATAATTTAAGAACAGTAAGATGTTTGTACTCTTTATCAACAATTTCTTCTATTGAATTTCTTTTTTTGTACATTGGCAGGCAAATATATTGGGAATCGACCAATCAAGCTTAGGAAAAGTACTTGGAAAGACCGCAGTATAGAAGCTGTTAAGAAGAAAGCAAAAGAAAAGAAGCGCTTGGGTTACAGATAACAATAATGTGGAAGAAATGCGAAATGCGAACTTAGAATGTTATTAGTTCCATTATAACCTTGTATCATAAATTCCTTGTGAATATGATGCAGATGTTTGTAAAAGGCAAAAATTTAGTCTGTCTACTGCTATTTAGTGAAGAAGGCACCAAGCCAGCAGATGAAATGCAGTTCAAGCTTTTGTGAAGGCTGTAGATTCTTCCTTTCAGTTTGATTACTTACTTTAGTACCAAATCTTTTGTTAAAAGTAAACTAGCAGGTTTGACAAGGATTGGAAATTTTCTATTCAAACTGGAAATCTCTTTTGAAAATGACCATTTCAATTAATCCTCATGCTTATAAAAACTAATAAGGGAAATGGTTGGTTGTAAATACTAAATATACAGTCTTCTTTTGTGAAATTTGTGCTTATTCTTTATTTAGCAAGTAGATTCCATGTTACACTTTTTCTGTCCAGCAGTAGAAAGAACAATAAAGGGGTACATGAGGGGCAGCCTTTGACCCATAAGAATGACTAATATATAATTTCTCCTTGCAATATCATTCCTGAATCTGACAAGAATGAAGGAAACGATCACATATTAATTAAGCTCATCCAATTTTTTTTTTCTTTGTACTGCTTTTCTTTGCTTTGCTTAGCTTTTCAGGACATTGACACTCATCATAGCTAGCGAAGTTACTAATTAAATACAAAACCAGCTATCAGGAGGATTTTGTTTAATTAGTAAACAAAATTTAATTGGATGTTCCATGAGAACACGCATGCATGACCAATTAGAACTTCTGTTACACCGTGACCAAAAAGTACCTGCTATCGTGATAGCTTTGACACGAGAAGGATACGGTGTAGTTTACTTTTCTAGAAAGTGTAATTCAAAATGGACCTTGTTCTTGACATCCTCGATCAAAATTTCTTCACACCGTACGTGTACCCCGCAACGTGGCCAGAAAATGACTGCTACAGGCAATTCATCTCGCTCTTCGTGGTCACGAACATCGGCGGCGTTATTATGTATTTTTCGCTCGCAACTTTCAGCTTCTTTTTTGTGTTCGACCGCGCGCTTATGAAACACCCGCTGATTCTAGAACACCAGATCTACAAGGAAATCATGGTGACTTTGAAATCAATACCGTTTATGAGTTTTCCCACGGTATCGCTTTTCCTTCTGGAAGTGCGAGGTTACAGTCAGTTGTACCTGCCAAGTAATTTCAGCTGGCCGCATCTCATCCGCGACATCATTTTGAGTACGACTGGCTTTCTCGTCTTCACCGACGCATTGATTTACTGGATTCATCGTGGATTGCACCATCGTTCAGTGTACAAATATTTGCACAAAGTCCACCATCGTTGGAAGGTGCCAACCCCATTCGCCAGTCACGCTTTCCATCCGATCGACGGATTCCTGCAGAGTCTGCCATATCATCTTTACCCATTTATTTTTCCACTCAACAAAGTTGTGTATCTGGTGTTGTTTGTTTTCGTCAATATATGGACGGTGTCAATTCACGATGGAGACTACAGAGTGCCTGAGCTGCTGCAACCTTTCGTTAACGGATCTGCCCATCACACAGATCACCACCTCCTCTACAACTGTAATTACGGCCAATATTTCACAGTCTGGGATCGGATCGGTGGATCTTTTCGTCACCCGAGCGCGTTCCAGGAGAAAGGTCCAAAATTCGAGCTAAAGAAAACCGCTGATAAGATGGGATGAGTATTGACTGGGGTATTTGAAAGCAAAGAGTAATAAAAGAACGGTGTCTGCAACGCGAGCGAAGTTTGATAGATCGCGTGTGAAATGTACAACAACTCCTGCGTATCTGTTATTTATGAATGTAAACAGTCGCGTGTGATGTTTAAACAAATAACCCTAAAGTTTATATTGCACCACCAGTGGTACTAAAATAGTTTTTCATTGCGTTTACAATTTCTCCGAACGCTATACCAATATTACATCTTGTCCCATTTCATCTCCCCACCCACCAATGTTGTACTTTGCACGGACTTTGACCCCTTATTGTTCCACATTGTGTAGGTAGGAGCCTAAGAAATGGTCGAAGATTTGGTAAATTTTAAACTCTATTTCCAATGAACACTAATTTGTATTAACTTCCTCAAAACTTATGTTTTTCTTTTCCTTTTTAATTATAAATTTAAGTTTGTAAATGCACTGAGACTTATGAAATATGTTTTAAGAACTTTTGTTATTGTTATAATTATTACTATTATTATCATTATCTTTATTATTATTATTTCATGATTATTGTGTTAGTCTTTCCACTCTGATTAAAAAAAAAAACTATGACAGAATATGAAAATAAGTTACTTATAGATAACCTCTTGGATATAATTTTGTCTCCAGAAATGTCTGTATGTAGGCATACTTCAATCTGATGTTTTTTGATAAAAAAAAAAAAAAAAGGTGATGACTAATGACTGACAACGATTTGGAGTTTTACTGATGTAAATGGCTTAAAAAAAGATTGTAATTGGCATTTCTTTATCAAGAATTTACCCAGTAGACTTTCAGGAAGAGAAGATTCTGTTTCCATCAAGAACTAAAAATGTTTAGTGGAATGCCAATGGACTAATTGTTAACCTGTGTCCCCTCATTTTTTTTTCTTGATTTACAAATATCTTCAACTAGATGCAGAATCACTTCATTAATTAATTTTGTAAGAAGTGAGATTATCTAGTAGAGATCACCTTTTATAACACAGTAACTTTTTGAGTATCAATAAGTAATTCACCTACATTTATGTTAATCCAGCTTCACAGAATAATTGAATGAACAACTTCATGCATACCTTTCTCATTTGCTTTCTTACATTTAACATTAAAATTTCTTGTATTTGTGAAACATGCAGAGGCTGATCAGTTAGAGCACTGGACTTTGGGTGAACATCTAAGGGAATGAGCCCTAGGTACCCCCTTCCCCGCTAGTGCCATCATGGTATATTCTTGGGCCAGACAATCTATTCTCACACTGCCTTTTTCTAGCCAGGAGAGTGTATATATAACCCCTAAGAGTGACTAGCATCTAATTTCTCCTTAAATTATCACCTCTGAATCACACATTTAGGTCATGAGAAAAAAGGAAGTGATCACCAGCCTGAGACTCTTGATTGTTAAACAAATTCTCCTTGTCAGCACCATGGGAAATGTAAAAAGAATAGTATGGAGAATATGCATATTAATCTTAGGATGTAAAGGGTCAATACTTTTTGGTGTAGTATCACTTAGTCTTTTTACAGGATGTGCAATATTTTGATGCACCCACAAGGTGAATCAAAATACAAACAATGAGTGAAAATGCTCAGTGATAATACAAACTCAAACGTTGACTGACAAGTCATTTTTAATCTACTAACTTTTTAATTTTTTCTCCTTTGAGTCTAACGTGCGCATTCAATCAAGTTTTTGTTAACTCTTAGGTGTTTACGTGTATAAACAAAATACTTACATACACACCAAGAAACCTGATGGAATGTTGGGATGTAACATGTGACTGACTTAAAGCATCCCATCCAGAGGGGAATAACCAGAGTACTATGGAAACCAGGATGAGCTGTGACCAGAGGAGTCACTAGGCTCAATTTTTTACTTTACCTTTGTCCTTGACTCTGGTATTTGTTACCCAGTAGAGCTGCAATCAAATTACTTTTCACTGTACCAAAATGTCAAAGGTGCACATCCGTAACAGTAGACATCTCTATACAAAGTGCTGAAGTCACCTCTTTACAGCAAAGACTCAGTGGACATGAAGAGATGTAACTCTCCCTCCCCCCCCCCTAATGAAATGTGCCCCAAGACCCCTTAGAAACTTTCAGTATTGGTGAATGCTTTTCAGCCCTTAGCTTCCCCCTCCCTCCCTTGTGGTACTGGTGGCTTATGGTTGGTTTCACTGTACTTGGGGTCAAGTGGTCTGGGTTGGGGACCTAGTAGGGTCATTGCATTGTGTTTTTAGAAAAACAATTAACTCTCACGGTGCCTTCCTCTACCAAGGAGTATAACTGGATACTGATGAATTGTCAGGGAAGCCTGATGAAATGCTGGAAGGAGACCTTGTGATGGACTGACATTTTATCCAGGGGGGGGGGGAGGGGGAAGGTAATATTGTCCTGGTTGTCTCATGCTATGGAAGTCAAATAAAGCTCTGGCTGGTTTGTCACTTATTATAGTACAGACCTTTCCTCCCCTATCCCCTCCATCTTGCGCTAATTGAATTTTAGGTTCCGCCAATAGAGAAGGGGTCTGTAAAGGCAGAAGAATAATGTAGCTTAATGGATAACATTTACTTTTGAGTATTATATCAAAAAGAGTATTGGAAGTTTTTCGTTTGTTAAGAGTATCGCAGCTTTTATTGCGCTGATTGTCTAAAATTTGTGCCACCTTAATTAAATGTATGCACCTTAATTTAAAAATTTATAAACATAGCTAAATGCTTCCCCTGAGAAATATGTAGTTTGTGTTTTGAACTGCAGTCCACGGGAAATTATAGCTTTCGTTTAGGAATTTTATCTTAACTTTGAAACCACTGCTGGTGGGTCGAGAAGCTGACTTTGTAATATGTCACGTGATGTACTTATTAGCGTTGCGTGACATCCCAAGGACACGACCGAGAAGGGAACTGAGAGAAGCTCGCTGAAGACTTTATTGAGTTTATTCTCGAAATTAATTCTCTACAAAACTAGGATCAGAAGGTTCTCGTTTTGAATAACGTACCCACCCTCTTAAATTTGTTCAATTAACCGTTTCGTTCCGGTTTCTTCGTACAGACCGAAGGAGGTCAATACGACGCAGCTGATCTGAAATTGATAAATTTCACAAAAATGCTACCATCCTTGTAAAAGAAGACACAATTTTTTTCCATGCATGGAGATATATCTCTTAAGTCTCCTTCTGCTTTTTACCTTTGTTTACCTCACTTTAGGGTATTTGGTAATTGTATACTCTTATGAAAACGGATGAAGAGAATCGTTGTAAATCCAGGAGATTCCTGGAAATAATGAACTAGGACTAAAACTCGGTGGCTTTAAATACTGGATTGCATCGATTTTTTCCAGTACTGCACTCTTTGACGGGCCTCACTTGGCAATCAACAGTCATAATTTAAACTTTTGAAATTAGAAAAAAAATCCATATGGAATCGCCGAACTCACAAATTCTGCTTGGTAGTGGTATCGTGCTAAAATCAACTTTGCAACGTGATTGAGCAAGACAGTTCTGGTGGAAGGGTTGGTAAGACCTAAGCCCTTGCTAATTATTTTTCGGGAAACTCGTATTTAATTATTTCGTTCTTTATTTTTTTCATACCTCCTTGTTAGTGTTTTTTTTTTTATTAAGTTTGTTAGCGTTTTTCTTCGTCAGTTACACCTTTACGCACGTTTCTCATACCGCACATTATTTTACAGTCTAGTTGTATTTAAAGCCAGCTCCTTTTACGCATAATCACTTTTTAAGTCAGTTTACCTAAAGTCGTGCTTGGCGCAGTTCTCTGTGTATGAGTCTTCAGTACCTATTCAAATTTTTTTTACTTTGCGAGAGCTAATTATCATGCAAAATTCCCAGAAGAGCGAGGCAGCCTGTGCTGGAACCAAGATCTCTCGAAAAGGCATCGCATACATCAAAGTTCAAAGTACAATGCCAGAAACTACGTAGATATCACACTCTTTCTTCAGCTAATTTTTTTTTCCTGAATTGACTTTCATTTCATTCCCTTTAGCTTATTTGTTATCGAAAGGTGAAAGAGTTAGAATGTTTCAGCCTTGCCATAGTAACTGACTGGTTACTAAAGAAAGACTTTGAAAAGAGACAATGTCAGTAGAGGTTTATCTGACGACACAAACAAAATGAATCAAACAAACAATTAAACAAATGAAATCACAAAGGGTGTGACCTCCTGATCAAACTGTTTCCAGATCAGATATATGTTAGACTTTACACGGACGTGTCCGATTGCACATGCACTTCCGTTCGTGAGGCTGCTATGAATAAATCTAGTCGAAGTCATCTATCTAAGAGCGTTACCTATGGAACCTGCCTCTCGATCTCTTTCTCCTGATTTTCTCTAGTTACTATGCCATGTGCATGGGTCACTACCTGGTATAGAGTTTTCAGACATACATATTTTACGCAGGTTTATCAAGAATGAGTCCGATTCTTGTTTAACTAACATATGATGAATTAAATGAAAACGAGTTTTCGTAGGGAACATTTATCTATCATATCGGAAGGTGGACCGGTAAGATTGAGGCGCAGGTCACGACAAACAATGGACTTTCAGATAAGGGGTCAAAAGGGGATTTACGAGCAAATAGAGGGTGGGGCTGAATCTCGTAGACGGATCCTGCTGTGTAACTGCACAACTTCTTAGCCGTGGAAGGTCCGGGTAAAAACTGGTGCGGAGTCACTTGTTGTTTTTTTCCTGTTTGTTTTTTTATCATTTGTTTGTTTTTTTAATTTTCAATGATGGTGTTTTTCAATGATGGTTTTTTTATTCATATTGACAGCAATATTGTTTATCTGAAATCTAATATTATCTCATTCATAACAGGTCAAAGCAATATCAGAAAATAGTCACTAGCTCGTCCTCTGTTATAAATAATGCATGTTTGCTCAAAACACGTGTTTCCCAGCTGACTTGAAGATAACTCGCATCATCACCGACAAGGAAAGTTTTCTCAGATGAGAGCATTTTATGGAGCTCGGAATGGCGTTATATCTCAATGTTTCATATTCATAAGGAAGGCGGTCTCTTTTTCGATTGTTTATATGAGTATCGACAGGATGAACTTGGCCTTCAGCCAATGGGATGGAATTTTTTTTTTAATCTTTATTGTCTAAGAGTACTTGATTTTATTCTGTAACTATTCAAAATGCTATCTTAATACAAACCAGCAGGTTGTCACAGTCATGTCAAGTGACTTTAAAGTTCAAATCCTGTCATGTATCGGCTGAGTACCATGGACATACAACCGTGACACACGGGTGCGTATTTGTCAGTTCGCATGTTACATGCGGCACGTGTCCGACGTCTTCTTTCAACACAAAGCGCAGCAAAAACACGCGAAAGAAAGTGGATGCACGAAATATTCCTTTACTTTGAAAATAAGAAGAAGATTTAGAAAGAATTGCTACACTTCGATTCCTTGGTGAGTTACTATTATTTTAAAAACTGTTTTGCCCCAAGCCTTAGAGACTATAATTAAAGAACCCTCGATCATGTGCTAGTCCAATCAAAAATAGTTATTAAACCAATAATCTCGAAATTTTTCACATAGTCAAAATTTATTAGTAGGAAACATCTTGTTGGGAACTTCTCGTCAAATATTTTGTGGTTTAAAATTAGTTTAATGCGTTTTTAGTTTAGTGTGATGTATTGAAATTAAGTCTTCCTGTTTCAAACTTTCAAACACTTCCGTCGTATAATGATCACCTGTCCAAAGGTTGAACAACCTCTCCCTCGCCGGGGTTGTTTATTTTTATCATAAGCCTTTGGTTTTACGAGCGATTTTTTTATCATTTACCATATCTCTAGACCAACTGTAAAGTGCATTTTTTTTTTCATATGACCAGTAAAATAAAGCCGTCAAGGCGAAACTTGAATCATCGCGTTGTCGCGTTCAGGACGCAGTCTTCCAATCGCTTAGCTCTGTTCTTCCTTTATTTGCCCATAACAGACGCATATCGGTGTGCGCGCATAGGGACACTTTTACTCAACTTCCGGTATTGAGAAGAATCATTTCATCTCTTCTTGTCGTGAAAAGCGGTGATATATTTTTTCCCACCATTTCTTTGACTTTTTTTTCCTTTGACAGTTTTTTTGGGGTCGAAATCGCGTAAGGATTTTCTATTGCT